AGGAGCAGCGGGGGGCTGCGGCGGCGTCCCCGCCTCAGGGTCCGGCTTTACCGCCGCCACCTCCGCCGGCTCCTCAGGTAGCGCCGCCATCTTGCATCGCCCTCCATTCACCGGCAGCGGGCAGCCGCCGCCAGGCGCGGACGCTCTTGCGACAGTCAGGGCAAAGGACGGGTACTGCTGCCGCTGCCTACGCAGGCGCTCGCGGCTTCGTTTTGCGACGCCGCCAGCAGCGCTTTATGGCAGCGGGGTTGGCATGAGTCCGGAGGAGCGGTTGTGAGGCGGCTGCTGCGCCGCGGGCGTCCTGGCACTAAGTAAGTGTAGTTTTGTGCAGTGACGGTGCGGATGTGAATCACGGAGCTCGGCGGCGCTTGCGGTGAGCGTATGTGAGAAACCTGTTCAGAAATGGATTGGTGTGGCGTTAATAAGCCGCTACCGGTGCCCTCCCGGCCTTGGGACTGTGTGCCCTTGCGGGCCTCGCTCCGAATGAAGTTAATGACGGCTGGGTCACTGGGTTTTCCGGGTATTTCTAACACTGCTTCTTGTATTCGTGTTTGGTAAGTACGGATTCGTTGATACTACAGAATTAAAGCCTTTTTTTGAACGACACTGCTATCTTGTGATTGGTGCGCTTTCCTGATAACTTAGACGTTTGCCTGCGCTTCATTAGCGAGTCACTTAGCTCTTAGCTGGAGGAGCGACAAGTGTGAAAAAAAAAACGGAAAGGAAAGCTGCAGGCTATGAAATGTACCAGCCGGTCGAGTCTCGGCGCATGCGCGGTGGCGCGGGCCGATGTCCGCTAAAACTGCAGTTCCCGGCGTGCCCCGCGCCGTCGCCGCGCACGCGCCCTGGGGGGGCTCTCCTGGCGGACCGCCGCTCCTGCCGTCCCCCGCGGGCGGCCAGCAGACGGTCCCGCGTTTGCCCCGGCCCCCGCCCCTCACCCCGAGCCATGGACATGGAGGTGGACGCCGGCTCTGTGGTCTCGGGGCTGTCGGGCGGGGATGGAGCAGGCGCGGGCCCGGCCGATGAGGACCAGGAGATGGAGGGGACTCCCAGCTGCTCGGGGTCGCGCTCCCTCCCCTTCGAGTTCGAGCGGAGCCGCTCGGAGTCCAGCGGCGACGAGGACGACGACGAAGACGAGGAGGAGGAGGAGATGGAGGAAGAGGAGCTCGAGGGGGACCCCGGGGCTCGGTTCGGGACGGACGACGGGGAGCTCGACTCGGACGACGACCGGGAGGTAAGAGCGGCGGGGGGGAGGGGGAGGGAACGTCCTCCGAGAGGGCGCGCACCGGCTCCGCCGCGCGCCAGGCCCCGCTCCCG